ATAATCAACGTTCTAGTCCCCATCTTCAAGGTGAAGATGGGTCCGTAATTTAGCCGGATATCTCGAACATACTGAAAGAATGGTTTGCCTGAGCGAGCGACTTGGAAGAGGTTTCCGACCACGGGCCACCCGGGTGGCCCAGGCGGAAGCCTGAGACGCTTGGATTTGCTTCTGGTGGACAGCACGAAAATCAAGGCAGATACAAGGAAGGCTAAACCAGTAAAGATGAGATTGTAGTATGGAGATAGAGTTGAAAGAGAGAAAGAAAAAGAAGCTGCAGCCATGGAGAGGAAAAGGTTGAAAAAGACAGAGGGAGGGAAGACTGAAGTGTCGAAATATATAAAGATGGGGGAATAAAAGTAGGTTGGAGAGTGGAGCGAAAGATAAAGGAGGAGGAAAATGCTGGTGGGAGTTCTATTAAAGCTTCTAACTGTTAAGTAATGCTGAGTGTTAAATGCGGAAGCTTCTTTAATTATTGGAGACAACAAAATCGGTAATTGATAAGGCCCTCCAATGACACCATAACATGTGGACAATTGGGGCACCACGTAAGCATACCATTTTGGACGCTTTACAACTGTATCAGTGACCTCAGCATCACTCCGCTAAGCCCAACTACAAACAACTAGGTAGAACTTCTAATGAATTGCCCTGTCCCCATTTAGCGATCTGTCTGACGTGTTGAGTGATTTCCTCTTAAATGGTCAATCCTTTTCAAATTCCCCAAAATCACCATACCATGCTGGAAGAACTGGTTATCATCTCACCTATTTCAGACGAAATTGAATAGACATTGCTAGTCTACATGGAGTCCACCTTCAACCCTCAAACCACATTCGAACTAGATCGGCCAGAAATCTCAAACACATCACAACATCCCCTACACTTTAATCTCTCTCTTCTTTCGATTCGACCAGGCAACCTAYTCAATTCAATGTCTGAACTGTTTATTTAAAAGTTCAATTCAAATGTCAAACCCAATCACTTATCGATGGGGTGATGATCGAATTAAAAATATTAAAATACTCTCAACTAACTTGAACTAAAAATGGTAAAATACTCTAAAGTAGGTTGTCAAAATAAATGAGGTACAAAAATTTTAATATATTAATTTGGTGAACTAACGGAATTGATGTGTATCAAATCCAAGATGAATGTGGTTCAGTACCTAAATACTGGTTTGTATTGATCAATCGACCCGGCTCTTGGACCTATCCAATAGAAACGCGATTTAATAAGGAGACTTGGAGCGAGCTGGTGATAGACCATATCAGCTATGGTCAAGGAAAGACCCCTGATTTGAGAAGAGTTTCAGCCTTTGAGGGATTCTTTTTTCTAAATCAAAGCCTCACCCACAGATATTTTTGAAGAATCTTAATTAATATTCAAATTAATGGCCACCGATCGAGAGATTTCAGTCAACCACCTGGACAGTACTATATATATTCATGGGCATTGAAGTTTGACCACATGTGGGAAGAACAGATACCAACAAATGAACAAATAAGCTGATTCAGTCGAGATTCATGCATATTAATTGATCTCAGGGCTGCAAATGGATCTGACTGAATCAGATACTTATGGATTCAAATCCATCTTGTTCATCGGATTTAGATATTGAATTCAGATCTTTAATGTCAATAATAAATTAAATTACAAATTATAAAATTTTATATACCCTAATCTATATTACTCTGTTTTCCAACCACTTAAAATTTAACATTGGGCTATCTACACTTACCCACAACCCAGTCGACTCCTTTTTAGTGTGGCTCAGATTGGAAGGAGTATAAAAAATAAATATGTACAATATAAATACATACAAAACAATACAAAATATAAAGTTTTGCGCTCTACATATTTATATTTGTACTCATTCCAAATAGAGCCTATAGGATAAACTGAATGTGGCCACTCCCCTATAAACCATGGGTACCTCTTTTAAAACCAGCCTATGCATTGCACTGGTATCATTTAGTATTATTGATAAAATAATGTAAATATGATATCGATATTGTATACGACAAATAAAATGAATTGACAATATATAACTTTTATGAATCTTTATTAAGCAAAAACATTTAGGTTATGCTTGGTTTGAAGGAAAAGGTAGAGAAAGGAAGGGAAAGATAGGGAAACCTATATACAAGGTTTGTAAAGGTTTCCCTACCTTTCCCTTCCTTTCCTTACTTTTTCCTTCAAACCAAACACAACCTTAAACAACTTTACAAGATGTCGATACTTGCCATTGCTTCATGTTCAGACCACTATGCGAAAAAAGTAATCAATTTAATTTTCTTTTCCATCTCTCTTCCTCTCTCTTTAGTGTGAGTTTTGGAGAACCTGAAACTCTAGGGATCGGGAACAGGGCAATTAGCCTCGACTATATATTCACTTGTTTGATTAATGCATTGAGGGGGCATTCTTTTTTTCAATTTTGAGAGGGGGGAAAGTTGGTCAATGAGAATCAAAATCCCTTTGACTAAGAAACCCATGTTCATTTTTAAGATTTATATGGGGAACAGGAAAAGTTTATTTTCTTGGGTATCACTTACTCTAGGTGGGTAAATAACTTTTTCACTTGGGGGAAAGTTGCTAATACTTCAATAGGACAAAAATGTCCATTTTAATAATAAATTTTTCTGGCTAAAATGGTCATTGACTTATTTACCTGGAAAACAAAAGAACATGGGTAAATGCACTTACCCGTGTATGTCTTTCATGGAAAATACTTACCTGAATAAATGCATTTACCTGTATAAATAACTTTCCAAAAAACAAATGGGACCTGAATATTTAAATTAAGCCTTTCTTTACAATATTTTTTTATGTTGGAAAGGTGTCTTGTACTCTTGTGGACAGCGTGGACTGTCGAACAGCCAAAATTTTTCTGTATTTATAATCCATAGAACATTTGTAATTGAAAAGGGTCAATAAAACGAAAATGAATAGAAAAAATTATTTATATGTGGGGAGAATGTGAGGTATCCAACGAGAAGATATGTAACAAGTTTTCTTAATAGACAAAACTTCAAAAAGAATATAAAAAAAAAAAGCAACCGGTCATGACAATTTATGGAGTTCAAGGTTCAAATGCAAGAACGGTCGATATTGACTTAAGTAACAATCATAGTTCAAATATCCATATATTCTTGATAGATAAATTCGGTTGGTGAAAATTATTATTGTATTAACTTTGAACATTTGATCATTTGACAGAGGCCCTCTCACATTTTTTAACATTTTAAAGGTATAAAAATACCCCACCTCCCATTAAAACCTGTATATGTAAAGCAAAAATAAATTAAATACGATACGCTCCATATATATCATATCAATACTTTGAATTTTACATTCAAATAACTCTGTCAATGTATCAAGCCAGGATAAAGGAGTAGAGGTGTATTAATTTAGCAATGGACACTAAAACTTTTGCCAAGCAGATCTTAATTTGTCTTTTCATGTTAGGGCTTTTCTTGGAAATGACACGCTACATCTTAACTCATCAAGTATAGTGTTAAAAGGGCAAGGGTATGCAAGGAATAGGATGGTGTTTGAAAGTGATGCACCACAACAATGAATGGTTGTGGTGTTAAATATGAAAGGGTCCTCAAATACTTATGGATGAGAGCAAGTAAGAAAGTTAGAGGTTGAGGGGGCTAGAAGAGCTAGGGGGCAGGGGCTAGAAGAGCTAGGGGGCAGACTTAAAAGCACTGGTAGGATTCTTCGTCTTATCTTGAAATCTTTCAAGCAGCCAATCTCTTCCTCTTTCTTTGTCTTTTACATTGGTGTTTGGGACCTGGCTGAGTTGGCCCTGCAAGATATAAAAAGGTACTCCATGTTCAAGGTAAGGCATCCAACTTCTGAAACCTATACCGCTACTTAGCTCGGACCGGTATCCTTATATCTCGACCTGATCATCCTACCATCTCCTATTGACTGGAACGTTGGAGTTCTTACCCGGGGATAACTCCTCGGGCCTCTGACTTCTGTTTCCTTGATCATAGGTCTTGAAGCGCGGCCTCGTCCTTGTAGCTCGGCCCCGCCCTGCCAGCAAGGACTATATGGTTTCCCTCATCGGTTTGTGCACCACCTCAGATTGAGCTTTGGAAAACCTCGGACAGCCTTATGCAAGTCTGACAGAGGAAGACGGAGTCCCTTAGAGATTACCTGGCGAGGTTCAACAAAGAAGCACTTCAAGTCAAGGACTTGAATCAATCAGTCGCGGTGACGACCATACAACACGGACTCTGCCCTTCCCCGTTCAACTTCTCCATCTCCATGAATACTTCTCAAACGTTGGCCGCACTAATGAGCCACACGCAAAAGTATATCAACGCTGAAGAGGCCCAGACACAACTCGGAGACGAGGATGAGAAGCTCGATAGAAAAAGGAGAGAGAGCGACGAACGAAAGTCTGAGAGGTTGGACAAAGACCACAAGAGGCAAGATCGCCGAACCAACCATAGACCTCGCATCCCTCCACTGACCTATCGGAACTTCACGCCGCTTAATGTTCCACGGTCTAAAGTTCTAATGCAAACCCACAACCGCAACTATGTCAGGTGGCCTGAGAAGATGAAGACGCAAAGTAACAAGAGGAACTAAGACAAATATTGTGGGTTCCACAAGGACCACGGCCACGATAAGGAGAATTGATTCGACTTGCGCAACCATATCGAAGATCTAACTAGGCGCAGTTATCTCAGTGGGTTTTTGGAAAGAACGGAGAAGTCAGTCCAAGAGGAAAGAAGAGCAGACGAAGCTCGGAAGCTTCCGCACCGAGGCCCCCCAACCGGCATCACCCACGTGATATCGGGAGGAAGCACCTCTAGAGGAGAACGCAGCTCGAGATGGAAAAGATATGCTCGGCTATGCGAGATCGAGGACCGAGGTTACGGGAGGAGGCACGACACATCTATTACCTTAACTGGCGACGATCTCCAAGGAGTCCAGACACCGCACAACGGCGCCTTGGTCGTCACATTTGAAGTGGCCAACTCCGAGCTATGGCAGATCCAAGTCGACACAGGGAGTTCTACCGACATATTGTTTGAAGATGCATTCAAAAAGCTCGGCATTTCCAGAGAACGGCTTACACCAGTTAGCACTCCCTTGATGGGATTTTCGGGAGAATCCTTCCAGCCCACTGGGAGGATAACCCTTCCCCTCTTGATCGGAGATGACGACGTGACTACGACGGCCATGGTAGACTTCATCGTCGTGCGCTGCCCCTCCTCTTACAACATGATCCTTAGCAGGCCGACCCTTAACGTCCTGCAAGCCGTAGTCTCAACATACCATCTCGCCATAAAATTTCTAACCAAGTATGGCATAGGGGTGGCGCGAGGGGACCAGAAAATGACACGACATTGCTATCAGTTATCCTACTGAGGGCCACGTCCAATGGTCAAGACATTGATGGCAGAAGCATATGACCTGTGTGACGAAGTGAAGGCGCGGCACGACCGACTTGTGGAAGACATCGTCCAGGTCCGCTTATTTGAGGAAGACCCCAAAAATACGGTCCAAGTTGGCTCCCTGCTAGGCAACCACCTTCAAGAGGAACGTGTTCGACTACTGAGGAATACTGCCGACGTGTTTGCTTGGTCGGCAGAGGACATGCCTRGAATCAACCCCGAAGTTATCACACATCGACTGAACGTCGACCCCCATTACTGACCTGTGAAGCAGAAGAAGAGAAACTTTGCCTCAGAGCAGTGGCAAGTGATCCCTGAGGAAGTATAGAAGTTGCTTGACGCTGGCTTCATTAGGGAAGTCAAATACCCCGATTGGCTTGCCAACGTAGTGATGGTGAAGAAGGCCAACAAAAAGTGGAAGATCTGCATCGACTTAACCGACCTAAATAAGGCCTATCCCAAAGACAGCTTTCCCCATCCTCGGATCGACCAGCTCGTCGACGCAACAGAGAGACATGAGCTCCTAAGCTTCATGGACACCTTCTCAAGCTACAACCAGATCCGGATGGACCCGGACAACCAAGAGCAACTGGCCTTTATTACTGACCGCGGCCTGTACTGTTATAAGGTAATGCCCTTTGGCCTAAAAAACGTCAGCGCTTCCTATCAACAGCTGGTGAGCGAGGTATTCAAAGAGCAGCTCGGTAGGAATGTGGAGGCGTATGTCGACGATATGCTCGTGAAGAGCAAAAAGGCCAAACACCACCTGGCCGACCTCCGCAAATTCTTCGACACACTTAGAAAGTACAAGATGAAGTTAAACCCGACCAAGTGCGCCTTTGGGGTTGGCTCCGGCAAGTTTCTGGGGTTTATGGTAACACAGAGAGGAACCGAAGCAAATCCAGCAAAGATAAGAGCCATTCTTGACATGCCATCCCCTCGGACCCACAAAGAAGTGCAACGGCTCACCGGGAGAATAGCTGTCCTTGGTAGGTTTATGTCTAAGTCCGTAGACCGGTGCCTCCCCTTTTTCAAAGCTCTCAAATGGCCAAAGGACTTCCATTGGACAGAAAAGTGTGAGCAGTCTTTCCAGGAACTAAAGCAGTACCTAAGCTCGCCACCCCTCTTGACTAAGCCGAGCCTAGGGGACAAGCTATTGCTCTACCTCTCAGCCGGGGATGAGGTCGTCAGCTCGGTATTGGTCAAAGAAGAGGACCGAGTATAGAGGCCGATCTACTACACCAGCAAGGTCATCAACGGCGCAGAGACCTGGTACTCCAATCTCGAAAAGTTGGCTCTGGCCCTCGTCACCGTAGCCAAAAAACTCAGACCCTACTTCCAGGCCCACATCGTGTGAGTACTCACCAGCCAACCCATCAAGCAGGTGCTACAGATATCGGAAGTGTCGGGCTGCCTAGTCAAGTGAAGCGTAAAGCTGAGTGAATTCAACATCAAGTACGCTCCCCGGTCGGCGATCAAAGCCCAGGCCTTTGCAGACTTCATCGTTGAATGTACATTTACTGTGGAGGAACCGGCCCCACTACCCCTGGCGTGGACCCTCCATGTTGATGGCTCGTCGAACCAGTAGGGCAGCGGCGCCGGCCTTATCCTCTTCGACCAGGATGACGTAGTGTTGGAACATGCCCTCAGGTTCGAGTTCAAAGCGTCCAACAATGATGCTAAGTATGAGGCACTGATTGCTGGGCTCCACCTTGCTTTAGACCTCGGGACACGACAGATCGAGGCCTTCAACGACTCAACTCTTGGTCAACCAAATCCACAGCCAGTTCGAGGCTTGGACTCCCTCTATGGTGAGCTACCTGCAGAAGGTGCAGTAGCTCATTCAACAACTCGAGCACTTCGACATCAAGCAGATCCTTCGAGCTGAGAATGCTTGAGTCGACGCCCTTTCAAAGCTCGCCACAGACCGACCTTGACTCAACTGTTCGGCTGGACATACTGGCCCAACTGAGCATTGCACCATCAACCATCCTYGTCCTTCCATTGCAACATGGCTCATCTTGGATGGACCCCATAATCGAGTATCTTTGAGAGGGAACCTCCTTGGAGGATCGGGTAGAAGCAAGAAGACTCCAACACAGAGCAACCAGGTATTGTCTGGTACAGGGTCAACTCTACCGCCATTTCCACACACTTCCCTACTTGAGGTGCCTCCCCCAAGCAGAGCCAGACTACATCCTTAGGGAAATACATGAGGGCATTTGCGGAGATCACCCCGGTGCGCGCATAGTAGCCCATAAGGCGCTCCAACAGGGGTATTTCTGACCGACGATGAAGCAGGATGCCACCTAGTTAGCCCAAAAGTGCGATAGTTGCCAATGCCACTCTAATCTACATCACCAACCTGCGGCCTCTTTGAGACCGATCGCTAGCCCATGGCCGTTCACCAAATGGGGGATGGACATCCTCGGCCCCTTCCCCACCGCAGTTGCATAAAATAAGTTCCTTCTCGTAGCAGTAGACTACTTTATGAAGTGGGTAGAAGTCGAAGCCTTGGCACGCATCACCGCCCACAATGCCTATAACTTCCTTTGGCAGGGAATCATTTACCGCTTCGGTATCCCATGCGTGCTCATCACAGAAAACGAAACACAATTCACCGACAAGAAGTTCGAGGCCCTCTGTGCCAACCTAAGGATCGATCACCGGACGACCATGGTACATCGACCTCAAAGCAACGACAGACCGAGGTAACCAACCGCATCCTACTACACAGCCTGAAAACACGCCTGGATCAGGCCAAGGGAAGGTGGGTTGAGGAGCTATCGAGCATTCTCTGGGCTTATAGGACAACCCCGTGAAGTGCCACCGGAGAGACCCCTTTCAGTCCGACCTACGGGGCCAAGGCCATGTTCCCCGTCGAGATAGGTTCCCCAACCATTCGGACCGAGCTCTTTGATGAGGGATAGAATGGCAAAGATCTATACGTGAAGTTGGACCTAGTAGAAGAAGCTCGGGACTGAGCACATGTGAAGATGGTTGCATAACATCAGAAGATGGCACGACATTACGATTCTAAGGTAAGGAGACACAAATTCAAGACAGGCAATTTCATTTTGCGCAAAGTCATAGTCCCCACACCAGGAGAAGGGAAGTTCAGACCAAACTGGGAAGGTCCATATAGGGTCACYAGAGTCCTCGGACCAGGTACTTATAGAATTGAAGACCTTGAGGGTCGACTAATACCGAGGAGTTGGAACTCAAAAAACCTTAGGATGTACTACCAGTAGACCCACAAGCAATAAAAGTCTCCTCTTAAGCTACTTCATCGACCCAGAGGCGCGCCCACGACCACCGCACACACTACACACGCACTGCCAACTGAGCTGACTCCACCGATCCCCAAACGGCTAAGCCCATTGCACCCAGCTCGACAGCACATTGCCAAGCAAGCTACCTGACTCAGCTGCCAACGGTTGAGCCTAAACGTGGAGGAATAACACCCCCACCCACTAAGGCCTGAGGGCGGTCGAGGAACTCCGCACAACCATTGACTTAATGGCTGAGCTATCTGGGAAACGGCTAGCCCCAAAAGGGCCCCAAAGGTTCTCGAGACCAGAAACTAAGCGTCCCATGGCTGAGAGCTCGAGAATCGAAAGATCTCAGACAACGGTAACCTTGGTCAATGCAAGACTAGGGACGTCGAGGCATAGCCCGACCGGCTACACCTCGGCCAATGGTAACCTCGATCAACACAAGACTGGGGATGCTGAGGTATAGCCGGCCGGGCTATACCTTGACCAACAACACCTTAGTCAACACAAGACTGGATACACCGAGGCATAGCCCGGTCGACTACACCTCGGCCAATGGTAACCTCGATCAGCACAAGACTAGGGACGCCAAGGCACAGCCCAGCCGGCTACATCTCGGACAACGGTAACCTTGGTCAACGCAAGACTAGGGACGCCGAGGCATAGCCCGGTTGGCTACACCTCAGCCAATGGTAACCTCAGTTAACACAAGACTGGGACGCGCCGGGCTATGCCTTGGCCAACAACACCTCGGTCAGCACAAGACTAGGGACGCCGAGGCATAGCCCGACCGACCCGACC